TCTTAGTTTTTTAGTCCAAGTAGAACTGGAGGTGAAAATCAAAATTAAAGTGGCCTGATGGAGAGGAGATGTTTTATAAGCTAGGAACATGGGGGCAAGGAAACAGAGTTAAGTGCTTGGGAAAACCAAGACCAGCTATAGATTTATCTGCTGGGCAGCTCCACAATAGAACAGGAGGCCTGTGCTTAGTGAAGGCTGCCATGGAGACTGCAGGTGAACTGCATAGGACAAAAGTAAGATTGGAAGCCAAATGGCAATATAGTAATGGGCAGTCCATGGAAAACTGGGCAAAAAGGTGTTTTATTGGAAACAACTGAAGTTTGACCTTGCAAATGTTTGTGCTCAGTCATGCACTATTAAAGATTTCAGCTACAGCAGAGATAAAACCTCTGGTTTAAGGGCTGCAATTAAAACAGTTAGATTAACAGATTACTTTACTTAACAGATACTTCAGAGAGCTGAACAGTGATAAAATTGCTGATATTTAAAAATTTTCAAGCTCTTTAAGCATACTGAATCAAGGTTGAAATTTCAATTGCAGAGCCAAGTTGAGAGCGACTCCATCCCTGTTAGACCCAACTGTGAGGTGCAGAGTTCCTGTGTGTACTCTGGCTGACCAGTCATAAGGATCTTGATGCAGGAATTAGAAAATTAAACTCAGGGTTTTTTTTTTACCCAAAAGGTCAACATAGGTTATTATAATGATATTAAAATCCGATAATGCCTCTCTGGCACTGAAGTCTGAACCATGATCTGTAGATTGAACCTTGACCAGTCAAAGTGAATATTTATAGTTCTGTAGGATACTTGTGTAGGGATGTAGTGTGTGACTTGAAAAAAACATGGAGTGTTTCAGATCCGCAGTTTTGAATTTTGAGCTTTTGAATGTTTCCACAGTTTTGATTTTTGAGCTTATGAATGTTTCTATCCCAAATAATATAAGAGAACGTGTAGAATTTGGTGATGTTGATCTGTCTGGAGATAAAGTGTTTATTTCATAAATGCTCTTCAAAGTTTGACAAATGATTTCCTAAGCACTGGAGAAGAGGAAAAGTGAGAACTAAAGGAAAAGATGCCCGTTATGATCAGTGAGTAAAGCAGTGTTCAGAACAAATGCTCTGATGTGATGAGTTGTTGATCTGAAAAGCTAGTTCAATTTGAGGTACTTAAGACTGAAAGAGATACCTGAGGGAGAAATTGGGTATGTGTGTTTCACAGAAAATTATAAAGGGCTGGGAAATAGATATCTTGAACTCTGTCAGTATTGTGCATGCCTGAACAACATCAGCACAGCTCATCCTAGCAGGTAGGCAAGAGCACAGATAGTACTCAGAGAAGCATCTCTTACTGTGAAGAATGGGGCTCTCAGGCTGCATCACTTTCAGCAGGTAGTTCTGGGAGGATTTTAAATTTCTTCGTGAAACACAGTGGTAGCCTTTAAAAAAATTCCTTACAGAGCAAAAATGTCAGCATAGGTCCAATGCTATAACTTGTAAGTGATTCTGGAAAGAAAAAGCAATAAAAGACATCCTTTGTGACCAAGTAAAACAGACACTTCTGATGTCCCGGTTCTCTTACTAAATCTGGGACCTTGAAGTCAAGCTGTTTTTTTGTCTTGTCTTCCTGGAGTAACCAGTTACCAGCAATAGCCCTGTGACACCTTTTACACTCAAGTTTTACCTTATGCTGCACTTTACCCTAATGTTTTTACCAGCCATACCTGCCTGTGAGGTCCAAGCCATACTTGTAGGGGGTTAGTTTGGGTTCATGTGGGCTGCTGACATCGTTTTCCTTTCAGCACTGGCATAATGCAGCTCTGTGAAGCAAAGAGCTTCACCCTGCCTGCCTGTGGGAACAGCAGGGCTATTGCTGCGTGGCAGCACAACTCATTCCCAAAAGGGCCTGAGGAAACACAGCAGGGGCATAAACTGTGATTTGCAGTGTTTCTGGCTCAGTGAAACAAAGGTTGCTGGAAACTGTCATTTTATCTTCGATGGCTGGTGTTATTCAAAATTAGCAAAAAAAAAAAAATGTGTAGAAGGATTACAGAAAGAAACTGATCTTGCTTCTGTGAGACAAAAGACAACTGAAAGGTTTCATTTTTTAAATTATGTTTTTTAAAAAGTATTTAAAGGAGAAAACAAGCTTTGCATTAGCATCCTATCAAGAGTGGGGTTTTTTGTTGTTTCGGTCCCATTTTGGTAAACATTTTAAAATTTGAAAACAAATTTGAAGGAGTGAAAGTATAAACACTATTAAAAGATTTCCCAGAAAGGAATAAAACCACAATTCTTTGTATTTATTTGGAGTTTTTCAATTTAAAAATAATGCTTGAAAATTGATGATGAGTTCTCTTCTGAATGAGCTGATGAATACCTCTCCTTTATTCAAAAGGTGTAATTACTGCAAATGTTGTTTTCCTTTAAAATGTATGCATTTGTCAACAGTTCCGTCATTACACTTGGTGCTTGCTTTTTGCTTATTATATGCACAATTGTTGGAGACTCTTTAATGACAATTACAATAATGGTTTCCCTGCTGTTCTCAAAACTCCATCTATGTCAGAGAAGTCTGACACAAAATGGAACATAAATATGAGGGCAATTTTCAGAGTTAAGGTTCTGGGGTCTTAACAGATGATTCTTAGTCTGGTTTTTACTTTCATATGATATTTCTGATTGTATAAAGAGAAGAAAGACTGTAAAGAGATTTTGTCTTTTGTGGACCCATAAAGACAGCTTCAAGTTGTTTTCACTGGCATAATAGGGCTTTTTTCAGCAAATGGAATTGCATAACTTTGTTCTGAAGTAGGCAATCGTCTTAGCCCACAAAATAGTTCAGCAGAGCTTGGATGGTGCACTGGAAATGTCTGAGGGGGCATCTGCCAGTGACTGGAAAAAAAACGTAATTTTCTCCTTGATGCATTATACAGCAAAAAATAGCAAAAAAAGAGAACTAAAATCAATGGCTGATACATTTCCACTCTAGAAGTACACAGTACCAAATGCTGAAGATACAAGTATGTGAAGCTTTCAGTGTACAGTTATGAAATAAACTGTTCACCAAAACTGCTTTTCTCTAAGTCATGATAGAATATGTTTTATGTGCTTGAGCTCGAGGTTTATAGCCTTTCCCACTCCTGCTACTTCCCAGTATGTAGTGCTGGATTTCTCATATAACTGAAGGGAAAACATACCAGGATGGATTTCCTTCCAGCAGACATAACTGTAATTTCATGGAAGCTTGAGCGTCCTTTCAGATTTATATCTGTTGAGCACCCCTAGCCTGACTTCTAGCTCCATATAGTCTTTGTTTTCCAAAGTTGCAGTGACAAAGGGGCCATATAAAGTTAAATACATCATCTCTCTTTGAATCTGCCCACATTTTTAATGGCTGAATCTTCACATCTTTCCTTACTAATTTGTAAAAGGTAGATATGGGCTCCAGACAGTGTCAGTTCACTGACACTGTATTTGTTTTATGTCTCTACCCTTCACACCATCCTTTGTCTTCAAAAATACTCAGCAAACAATTTAGAAGAAGCAATTGGCATATTCCCTAATGAGACAAGATAAAGTGTCCTATAATGATGATGACAGCAAATTTAGTAAGTGAACTGCAGTTTAAGAACTTTGCAAATTGATCAAACCATGATTCCTTGGTTGCTTACTTAATTGCCTGTTACAGTTTCTCTCCTGACCTCCATATCCCTGCTGCTTTTGTCAGCACTTCAGCAACTGAGGGACTCTCTGTTAGCCCCTCAGGTTGTGAATAGTGGAAGAATAGGTTCTGGTTTGGGGATTTTACTTAATTTACATTTAATATATACTCTTAGCCAGCTACCAGAGTGGGAATTTAGAAATATTCTGGACTTCTACAGTGTTTTCTACATCAGGCTAAGGATGAAGCTTCCTTAATTCTATTTACTATAGGATGTATGCTAATTAAAGCACTGCCTCACCAGGTACTGAGTACCTTAAGCAGTGTCTTAACTCAGTGATGTTCTGTCTGCTAGAGATGTCTAGTAAGGATAGAAATTTACAAGGAAAAAGCAAATTTCTGTGCGTGGTACAAGTGATCAGCTGGTGAGACTTAATTCATAGCCAATCTGGACCAGAGCTGCTAGAACTGTGGTTCTGTTTTGTTAGCAGAATTGAAGAAATGTCCAAAATCTGCATGATGAACTATCTTATAATATTCTTCAGAGTAATAGTCAGACGAGGCTACTTCAGGGCTCAGCATTTAAGTCTTTCTGAAATTTGTTTCATTAGAGAAACTATTTTTAGGGACTGAGAGGGAAGCAAAGATGTGAGTCCATGTGTGCACAGGAGGGGGAGCGAGGAACTATTCTGGCTGCTGCAGAGCAATTCCTGCCTTCTACAGAAGAGGCTGGGACTGTGTTTCAGAAGTGGACAGGAAGTGCTGGCCCTTCACTCAGCCTGCAAAGCTCCCTGAGTTCCAAACAAGGAACTTTGCAGTTGCATTTACAACCTCAACACAGCAATCACAAGCTGTTAGGGAGAATAATTTTGTCAGTATAATCAGGTAAGTGTTTAATTAGGTGGAGGAAAAAAGAATCAGGTCTTCTGAAATGAGACAAAACTTTTGTTGTTCAAGGTTCAGGATCATGCATGTGACTTTCTGATACTGGACTGCCTTTCTGCAGGAATTTTCTCTTTGTTCCATGTGAAGTGATATTTACTTTCTGCCAGAAAACATGCCTCAAATACAAGAATTTTACTGACCTGTGAGATTATTTTTTCCTTCTGTTCTTGCTCTTAGTGACTTGCTTTGCTTGTTTTATTAACCACTTGGATTTTTATGGGCACTAATACTCCAAGAGAAGAATGTTGATAAGCAGAAAGAAAAAGTTGGTCATATAAAATTAGGTATAAAGCATAAAAACATCATCTATGATGGAGACTGTATATGAACTTGTGAAATGTGACTGTCTTCTTTCTCCTCGTTTGTGAAGCAATCACTCTCTCTTTTGTTTAAAGCTATCTATGAACATTCCTGTGAGGCTTACCGACACCAAGGGAAGACATCAGGCTTCTTCTACATCGATTCTGATGGAAGTGGACCACTTGGACCACTCCGTGTTTTTTGCAATATCACAGGTAATGATCTAACCTTGTCTTGGCTCTTTTATGTGAGCTCTAATGTGATTGTGAGGTGGTCTTAATAGTATAATGATAGACATGCCAACAGTACAGCTCACTAGTGGGGAAGAAGCAGAGGAACTGAGGTTTGACTCTGAGATGTTTCCTTAAATAGGATCTATGCAAAAGTGATTTTTAAACTAAGTTTGAAGGACTCTCCTTGTACTGTTAAGTTACAACAGCATCTGCACCGTACAAAGGGTAGTTCATAATATCATAACTTTTGATGAGAAGTTTATGTTTTTTACTAAAGAAGTAGAAACTTAGAATCCAAACGATTCTTTTGTAACTAAATAGTTTCTCTGCTTTACTAGAACACTAGATCTGGGAATTATTGTTACACTCCTCTCACTGAGCTAGGTCTCACAGACCCTTCTAGTCTGACTTAAGCAGCAATACCTCCCCTCACACAAGTGTGATGCCTTTGACATTCTGAAGTGTGGAAACTTTGATTGTCCCTGGTATCTGTACGAAGGAGAATGCATGATGATCCTAGGAGGAAGGACACCAAAGAGACAGACAGTGGAGCAAAAGCCTGGCAAGGTTGTTGAGTCTTTTTAACCTTACAGTTCTGTGGCTTTAAATAAAAGTTATTTCAATAAATATACCTGTCTGGAAAATTCTCTCCTTAAGTGGGTTCTATTTTGTATACAGGACTGTCATGACAAGGGTATGAGAAAAGATTACACAGCCCTTGCTGTGGACGGGGATAGATGGTAGGGCTCCCTTTGTGCTTTTTATTTTTGAAATGGAGATGAAATTTCCCAGACCGTCTCCTGTTTGGCATTTTTTGCTTCCTGTGGCCAGGTGCAGATGAAAGAATGTTTTATTACCCTTTCTAAATTGCTAATTCCGGCTGAGCTGCTTCACCACATATCACCTCCACAATCAGTGCTGAAAACTGAGGACTCAGGATATTCATATTTTATCCTTAATCTCCTTGTGTTTAAAGTGTCTCAAATTAAATTTTCATTTTTATTTAATTGGGCAATCATTATGTTAATTAAATGCACAACAGTTAATTATTAAGTATGTTTTTTATTCAAGTGTAATAAATATTTAATAAGATGTGTCTCCTTCACTGTTGAATCTAGTAAGAATTGAAACAGCATTTCACCTTTCTGTCTGAATATCCTTCCTTGATCTCCAATATGGGAAATGTGCTCATTTTTATTATTTATTATATAAATATGTGTGATCAAAACACTGTCAGTGCTTTTTATCTTTGCTGAAGGAGTAGGATTTTTGACAAACACCTTGCATTTGCTTTCCTCAAATAAATTTTAGCTGGCAGAAATCCAGAAGGCATATACCCGATTTTCTCTCTATCTGTAATGAACTTGCTGACATTCTTATTTTAGTTATGAGAAAAGTGGAGATGGGGAAAAGTGGCAGAACCTCCAATCCTGGAACATACGCTTCTGTGTTGCCTGAATATGGTTTGGGTGCCTTAATCACAAGAGCTTCTTTTCTCTCTGGGAACTTACCTCATTTTTATGCTCATAAAAATTGTTTACAATAATCAATTAAATGCAAAGTATGCAAAGAATAAGTTGTGTACACAGGAATGGATTCTCAGTTTGTTACCCTTTTTAAGTGATGCTTCTTCATAGTTTTTTTGTAATTACCCTATATTAATGGAAAGGAAAAATATAAAATTGTTTCATATTTTATATTATGTACATTTTATATTATATGTGTTTTATATTACATACATACAAGGAACAGAGAAAATATTATTGTCCAGTGACATAAATCTCTACAAATCCTTCTGTGAATGGAAAAACATAGATGGTTGGGAATGTCAGTGGCTTCTATGTATGGGGACACTAAATAAATTAAAAAGATTGTTGGAGGAACTGCCCCAGGAAAGCATGGAGATCATGTGTACTACAGAGAGAGCACATAGGAATTGATTATTTTTCGTCATATAGGAGCTAAGGGTCACCTAAATGATTAGATAGCAAGATTTGGGAATTTTTTGTTTGCTTGTTCTTTCCTGATGCAATGAATTCAACTTGAAAAGCTACCACAGGACAGGAAGGAGGCTGATGTAATCAATAAAGAGGGCAAAAATAGTTTAGGAAAAGTCTGATAGATTCAGAAGGTGCAATTAAATATGACGGTTTAGTTGAGCTTCTCGCTCAGGCAGCTGTGAGGCAAAGACCACTGGGAAATGGGAATGAGTTTCAGGAAAATCTTTTGACTTCCCTCGCTTCCCTGGGTATCCATTTACCCTCAAAGGCAGAGTTGGACTCCTGGGCTAAATGATGCTTTTATTTTACTTGGGCTGACAGTTCTTTTTGTGTACAGTTCAAGAAGCAGTAACCTCTTTATGCCCAAAACGTGTTCAGGCTGAAGAATTTGGAGCTGGAATAGAAAATTCAGGGCAATGACTCATTTAGTGTTTTTAAAGTAGAGGTGCAGAGAGCTAATGACTTGTGGGAATTACAGTGCCTTGAATCTGTGAGGGATGAATTCAAAGGAATCAGATCATCAGAAATGAGCAGCATCATTGCATTTAGAGAAAAGTGTTTTCTTTAATGTTCACTTACATGTGTTTAAAGTCCTTTACAAGAAACTTTTTTGTAACTAGTTATTAACTGAGGAGCATAAACACCAACTTTCTTTCGTGTTGGTGTCTGGTCATAGATCTCCAGTGTCGGATGTGGATATGGAAAGTATGAAGAATACAATTGTGTTTCCAGTGGTTTCTTTGCAGCCTGTCAACTTTAGCAGCCCACTGCTGAATAAAAATTTTGAAGAAAGCAGAAAATTGCGATTGTGTATGTTGAGAGGGAGTTGGACAGTCATAAAAGAGAAAGAGAGATATAAGGGAAAGGAAATTTTGCAGGGAGAAAAAAAAGAGGAAAAAAATATTAAAAAATATAAAGCCAATTTTCAGCATGGTAAGAAATTTAGCAGTTGTGTCACAGAATATCTGCTGATACCAGAGTGGGTAAATGTACTTATCCATTGTCTGAAGAAGTGGCTGAAAAAGCAAGGTGACAAAAATTGTAGATGACATGCTATTATTTAAGTTGGTCAAGAAGAGGAAAGAGTACATGAAGCACTTTAAAAGGATCTTATTTTGAAGGCTGTTTATTTCTAATAAAAGTAAAATATGTTGTTGAAATAGGAGCTTGTCAGCAACAGCAAAGTGCCTAATTAAAGGCATGGAAAGATATCTGTAAAAAGAGAGCTTAAAAGTAAATAATCCAAGGCTATTTAGATTGGGAAGACTCAAAGTGAATGGGCCTCATTGACAGAAGCTGTGCTCATTTGCATTTTCTTATAATAGGAGTAAAGAGACAGTTCAATGACAGTGAAAGACAACAAACTCAAAACTAGATCTAAATGAAAAAAAAAAAGACAGCACCTTATTAACACAATGTTTTCTTCACCTTATATGCCCATTGAACACAAGGCAAAGTCATTTTCACAGTGAAATTCATCAATTGTAAGAAACACTGAGGAATCCACACCAAATGTAGGTGCGTGCAGGAAGCAAACTAAACACACGTGCCTGAATCATGATTGTCTGTAGTTGGATGCTATGAGAGACACCATGAGGATGTGAACAGGTTCGTGCAGGGATTGTTAATTTGGGATGATTGTGCTGAGTGTTCTGGGAACATATCTAATGTTTCCAGGCCATCTGCATGGGAATATAAACTAGCCGTGTTTGTTTAACCTGGATTCTCCCATCATCCATGGTGTTCTATGCCCACACTGTTTCGGCATTAAGTACAGAGAAAATGCATCATGTCATGCTTTGAGATAATGAACAGCCACCAAAGCTGAGAAAGAAATTTTCCCTGTAGGCTGGTTGAATTAGCCCAGTTGAATTAATCTTCACATAATTGAAGATTGATAACAATCAATAGAGAAGATGACTAGCAGACCCTATGAACCTCTGATCTGACAGTCTTTATATCATTGTGAGGCTTCTTCTTTTCCTCTTGTTGCTTAGAAATGTATTGATCTGTCTGGAGTACTACTTATCTGTTAACAACCATACTCTCCAGTACTAAGCCTACATACATGCAATCTACATCCATGTACTTGTTTTGCTGTACTGTGTGAAAAGTGTTTGTAATGACCTTTTCTCATTTCCTCCAGAGTAAATTTTACCCTTGATATCTGAAAGAAAAGTACACTTGAGTCACCCCCTCACCGTACTTCTCTACTGATGCTGTTTTGCTGTTTGCAGACCCTGGGCTATCAAATCAATAACACTTAGAAATTGCCATGACTAAATCAATGGTTAATTTTATCTTAGCCAGATATTGTTCCAGTCTTCAAATAGTTTGCATTTTCTTTCTTCCCTTTTTTCACTCCAGGGCTGCAGTTTAGGAAAAGATGAAACCTTATCCCAGGTCTTGCTGCTATTCCAAGACCTGTTTTTGAAACTGCTGTAATGAAAGAATCATTTATTAACAGAAATATATCTCTTCTTGTGGCAGATCACCTCTGTTTTGCAGTCTCCTCTCAAAATGCAGATATTGCCTATTTTTCTGATGCAGGAAAAATAAAATTTTATTTTCTTTATCTCAAAAAACTGTAGAGAAACTGTGTTTAAATCTCAAAGTAAGGGATTCTAAGACAATGTGAAAGAGATGACCAGTGTTATACTTGCAATTTTTTATAAATTGCCTCCTGGGTTTTTTTTTTTTTCTCATTCAGCTAACAACGTTTATTACTTTTGTTCTTCCGTATGTATTCTATGGCATGCAAAAAGGGCTGAATTTAGGGGAATGCAAGTTGTGTTGTAGTTGCAATGCCTAAATATTTTAAATGTCTGAATAGTCCCACTTAGAGTGTGATATTTGGTCAACTATTTGAGGAAATTTCTGTAGCAGTTCACTGTGAAAAAGGAGCAGACTGGAGTAACAGAGATAGGTTATTACAAAGCAGAGCTAACTGGACCTCAGTCCTTTTAGTAGAAATCCCCACTG